CCCCCCCCCCCCCCCGCTTTTCTTCTTCCCTGTGTCACCTAGCTCACTTGGAGCACTTGCCAGAAGTAGGTTGTTGACATGCCTAAGCCTCCAGTCCAGAAGGGTAGTTTCACAAAAGGATGTGAAAGACTCCTACACAGATTGTTCCTTCCATGTAGGGTGTGGGATAGTAAGTACTGTATACCATTATGGAGGAAAGCAGATGCAGAACATGAAGCAGGAATCCACACATCTGGGATTTTTCTTTTTTTCCTTTTTTTTTTTGGCATGTGGATACAGTAGAGAGCTTTAACCTGCTTGTGTGTGTATGTAGAAACATAGCCTGATTCATGCATGATGGGGTGGGAGTGCGCAGGAAGGAGATCTGTTGCCTTGCTATAAGCAAACATTGCTAGTTTGCCATTGTATAACAATTTGTTTGGACCTGGGTAGATTGGCTTCATTTTTAAACACTAGGAGAAAAAGGTTTTCTTAGGTTGCCTGTGGTGATAATTTAGGTCAGATTTGGGGGGAAAAAAAATCCTCATCACCATCTTGGACTCGTTGTGGGCGATCTGTTGTTCATAATTACATTCCTTGTTTTTTGTGATTTCCCAGTTGATTTTAGGCTCCTCGAAGGAGGGGAGGGGGAATATCTTGCTTTCTCACTGACTGTGCTTTCTCCTCTGCTTTGTGTCTGTAGGGTGGCTTTGCAAAATGTTATGAGATGACTGATCTGACCACAAACAAAGTCTATGCTGCAAAGATCATCCCTCACAGCCGAGTAGCCAAACCTCATCAAAGGGAGAAGGTGTGTGTTGACTGTGACTCTCCTTTCAGGAATTTCTCCAATTGCTTGGGTGGCCCTTCCCTTTTCCTGCAGTGGCTTGCTCACGTGTAAATCCTTTCTTCCCACGGATGGCAGGAAACAATACCAACGATGCTTTTGTTTGCCTCCCCCCCTTTCCAGATTGATAAAGAGATCGAATTGCACAGAATGCTCAACCACAGACACATTGTCCAGTTCTTCCACTACTTTGAAGACAAGGAGAACATTTATATTCTCCTAGAATACTGCAGCCGAAGGGTGAGCATCCAGTGGGAGAAATCCAGTACTCGTTTACGTGGAAGCAGCAGCTAATGTAAAAATGTTTAAAATGTAAAAGGTATCTTCAATAGGCAGTCTTTATTCCTTGCCCTAATGCTAGTATTTACACACACACACACACACACACACTCATGCTTAATGTGTGATTTCAGCAGTGTAACCTTCTTTTATATATATTTTTATTTCTATTAGTCTATGGCTCACATCCTGAAAGCAAGAAAGGTATTGACGGCACCAGAAGTGCGATATTATCTAAGGCAGATTGTATCAGGACTAAAATACCTTCATGAGCAAGAGATCTTGCATCGAGACTTGAAGCTAGGTAAGCTGATGTTCTCTCCCAAATGTTGGGCTTATATTGGATATTGAAAGAACAGGGTGTTTTTTCCCCTTATGCATTGTTTTACTTCTGTTTATATTGCACTCCCAGAGATTAATTGATAGAATCAGCTCATCTGGCAAGAGAGCCTTGGAATGCTTGAGTAATAGCATTAAGTAGTCATTCATAAATAACAGTTGGCTAGCTATTTGCTGTCCTCCACTAGACACAAGTCAGCACTTGTCTAATATGTTAATCACCTGGGATTCAGCTGCCTTTTTTTCACTCTTATCTGTAGGTAATTTCTTCATTAATGATGCCATGGAATTGAAAGTGGGTGACTTTGGGCTGGCTGCAAGGCTTGAACCACTGGAACATAGGAGAAGGTAAGGCTTTAATTAACAGGGTTCAGTGTCTTCTCTTGCTTTGAAGTCTTGGGTTTTAAGTGGGGAGACTTTATGGCTTCCCCAGTATGTAAAGACTGGCCTTTAAGACATGGTGTCTGATGACTGGGCAGTATTATTTATCATGGTTTCCACTTGCATAGTTTACTTTAGAAGTGAAGGGGACTTTTAGCTACTGATGAACTGCAGTTTCCAGCATCTCACAGCATGAGCCACATTATCTGAGGCTGCTACCAGTGATAACTACCAACAACTGGGAGGTCACAAGTTTCCCACCTCTGGGGTCAACTCATGCTGGCTTTCTTCTGTCTCTGAACAATTCCAGAGTATTGCAGGACACAGATGCATTTAGAGAAAGTCAACTAAGTGAATTGCCTTAAGGATGGGAGTTACTGAGATTTCTGCAATATCAACAAAACTGTACCCTAATGAATCTATACATAACCTATCTTATGGAGTGTAGAATCAAGGATAACTTGGGGTAGTTTGAATAAAGGAGTATTAAAGGGTTAATGGTGAACCTTCCCAGTATGTAGCTAACAGCCAAACTAATAAAAGTAAACATAGTTTTTTAGGCAATAATATAGACACGGCTTACATTGCCTTTTTCAGATATGCTGTTGAACTTCCTAGTCTAGTCTATACTCTTACATTTCCTGGTGGTCTCATCCAGGTCCTAACCTGGTCTAACGCTGCTTAGCGTATTTGAGATCAGCCAGGGTTGGCTAGATTCCGTCACCTGCCGTAGCTGAACTTATACTGTAGTTGAAGACATTGATTTGACAAGCTTGCATAAAGCATACAGTAAATATTTGTATGGGTCACAGGAAGAACCTGACAACAGTTTGTTCTTCTGAAATGATAGATTCTAAATTCTGGTTTTACTCTGTTTCAGAACAATCTGTGGCACACCAAATTACCTTTCCCCAGAAGTCCTTAACAAACAAGGGCATGGCTGTGAATCTGACATATGGGCCTTAGGCTGTGTCATGTGAGTATTTCTTGATATTAAGCTGAGTTTTCAAGCCAGTGCTTGAAATAATGATAAACTTGTTCTTGTTTTTTAAAAAATTTATTAAAAAAAAAAACTAAATACATGTACATAGGCATTTACACTACAGCAGAGTGAATCAGCTGTAATGTAAATGATTGATTTCTGTATCTACTCTCTAACGTGTGGACAAGCATGATAGATCTATTTGTAATAATTATAATAGATACTGAAAAATGGAGATGGAATAATTTTGATTATGAATTTCAAAAGCACAAGAAGTCTCAAGCTGGTCAAGAACATAAGAACACTGTTGTATAAAATAGGTACTGGTTATGTTACGGACTGTGTTTAGTTAAAAACACACCACATAGCCACGTGTTGCACTATGTTGGTATAAAGTAACGTGTGATGTATTTTCTACCATTTTGACGTCTGGTATCTCCATGGCTGCATAAACTGAGCAGAACTTGCTCATTTGTTATTTGGCAGATAATGAGAGCCCTGTCTTTGTCTTCTAATAGGTATACAATGCTATTGGGAAGGCCTCCATTTGAAACAACCAACTTAAAGGAAACTTACCGATGCATAAGAGAAGCAAAATATTCTTTACCGTCGTCTTTGTTGCCTCCTGCGAAACATTTGATTGCAAGCATGCTGTCCAAAAATCCAGAAGACCGCCCTAGCTTAGATGACATTGTTCGGCACGACTTCTTCTTGGTGATTAATAGTATTTTTGCTTTTGGAGTTTCTTTTTTCAGTAGTGAAGCTGGCTGCTGACAATTGATTGTATGTATTCTCTTTCTACAGGGTTTCACTCCAGACAGGCTTCCAGCTAGCTGTTGTCACACAATTCCTGACTTCAATTTGTCAAGTCCGGCTAAGAATTTTTTCAAAAAGGCTGCCGCAGCTCTCTTTGGAGGCAAGAAGGAAAAAGCAAGATACTTTGATGCTCACAGTAAGGCATCCATTTATATCTGGGGGCCTTTTGTTGAAAGTGCTTTTGTTTTTATCTGGCTACATATTTGTACAATCTTAGCATCCTTAGCTTCCCTCCTCTAAGCAATAAACCACTGGTGGGCACTTAGTAATGAACTACCCCTATTTCTAAATAATTGGTATGTTGGGGTGCAGGAACAACAAAGATTTTAGGTTCTCCTGCTATTAAACAGTAATGCCAGTCTCTATCAGTTAATTATTGCCTGGAAACTGCAGTTTGTGCAATGAAGCTCTTGGTAATGATTACACTGGAAGGCAAATCTTGACAAGTGTCTATAGCAAAGAAGCTTGCCTAACAGATACATGGCAGTGCACTTTAGATATAGGAATCAAATTTGCTGAATCTGCTTTTTTTTTTTAAATTTCCCAGATCGATTGGCTAAAGAAGATGAAGAAATATATAAACTTAGGCATGACTTAAAGAAGACCTCAATAACTCAGCAGGCCCTGAAACACAGAGCGGAAGAGGTAACCACAAATTACCCATATTCTGCATCCTTCTGAAAGTTTCGGAGTATTTTAAACATAATTAGAAGGGGCTTGCAAACAACTTGAGCGTCAGCAGCTTGAGCACAATATTGCGAGCTAGATGTAACCTTTAACAATTGTGTGCAAGAACTCCATGCTTCCATTTGTTCCATCTCTCAGTAATACACATTAACTGGCATCTGCTTCTCTGCTCTATGCAATTTTTTAAGATGCTGAACTCTGTCTGTGATTGAAAACATCACTGCACACAGAATTTATTGGCATCCTCAGACTAAGACATGTATGGTAGGGGCTGAAGCTGGTGGGAGTTAGGTACAGTAAGACAGTTCAGTGATCATTGGCTAAAATGCGAAATGGAAGCGATGTGCCAGGCTTAAATGCTGTGAATATTTTTTTATTCCTTTCAGATATTCTTACCAGCCTGCAGACTTTTTTTAAAACTTGTGCAAATTTCTTTATGGCTTGCTTTTGTGCACCGCTTTTGAATGCATTACAGAATTTGGGAGTATATAGTTTGAAGGAATACTTACTTGTATATTCATCTGAGGATTAGCCACATAAAAGTGGATCAAACAAAATTCTCCCTATCCCTTTCATGAAAATAAGTCTCTCTTTCATCTGATGCTCAGTGGCTATGGCTTCACTGACAGGAATCTTACAAAAAGGTTTAAATGCACACTGTGCCTTTCTGTCATGGGCATTCTTGCTATGCGCTTTCAGAAATAGAGCGGCAACCGGCCTTGGGTTCAGGTAAAAAAATAACATTTCTTTTTTTTTTTCCAGGAGATCCAGCCTTCCAGCACCACTGTAGCAAAACCTGGTGTGCTAACAGAAACCAAGCAAATAGATGCAATCCGGATGATAGTTCGAGGGACCCTGGGAAGTTGCAGTAGCAGCAGTGAATGTAAGTGTGGCACAAGGGCTTCCTAGTGTTGAACAGGTGGGGTGGGGAGTTCCACCTGGATGGTTAAAAGAATAGCTTAAAATAAAGTACAGTCTTTGGAACGTCTTTTTTTTCCTTCTCTCTTACATCTGTGGGGCTATCTCTAAATAAAAAAGCTAAATCTGATGGAAAAACCCACGGGCTGTTTATATCTTTCTCTAAACACCCCCAAGGAATCAGGGTTTTGGGGAGTTCTGAGATTCTGATGGATCTCTCAATTGTTCTTCCTTTCTCTTCATAGTGGGGTTCTAACTCTGTATTAAAGCTATTCATGTTATTCCTGTAAGCCATCTTGGAGAGCAAGGCAAAATAATCCAAGCTGAGATGGCAAATGTTTGTAAATTTCTCTGCCTAAAGCATATTCATGAACTCTTCTATCTCCTGCTAGGCCTTGAAGATAGTACAATGGGAAGTGTGGCTGATACTGTCGCAAGAGTGTTGCGTGGATGTTTACAGAACATGCCGGAATCTGATCATATTCCCAAAGAACAGCTGGCTGTCTCCTTCCAGTGGGTCACAAAGTGGGTAGACTACTCCAACAAATATGGCTTTGGCTATCAGCTGTCTGACCACACTGTGGGTGTTCTCTTCAACAATGGTGCACATATGAGCCTTCTTCCAGACAAAAAGTGAGTAGCCAGCCAATTATAAATCAGGCTGTTCCATGAGCTTTCATTCCATCTACTTAAGCTTAACCCCTTTGTACCTTTGCTTTTGGTCTTCCAGAACAGTCCATTACTATGCAGAACTTGGTCAATGTTCAGTTTTCTCTGCTACTGATGCTCCAGAACAATTCATCAGTCAAGTCACTGTCTTAAAATATTTTTCTCATTACATGGAGGAAAACCTCATGGATGTAAGTTAGACCAAAAAGGTGGGAAATGTGGCTAATATGGTAGCTTATATGGTGAGCTCTGTTCTAACTTTGATATGTGCTGTTCTTAGGGCGGGGATCTTCCCAGTGTCACTGATGTCCGCCGACCAAGACTTTACCTCCTGCAGTGGCTGAAATCTGATAAGGCATTGATGATGCTTTTCAATGATGGCACATTTCAGGTAAGTTGGGTAACATACTTTTCCTGGAGCTTAGTCAAAACTCTGTAGGACTTTCCCTTAGCATCACTGGCAGAAGACCCGTGAGAATATGGTTTTATATGCTGATCAAGCAACCTAAGGAGGTTGCTTTCATCCTCTTACAACAAGTAGCATAACTGGCCTAATTAGCTGTCCTACATAAAGGATGAGCTACTGTTGGCTTTCTGGGCTTAATAACCAAAAGTGCCTGTTTCCAAAGCTGAGGGTATCAGTCATAACTATTAAAAAAACATATTTGAAATCAAGATTTCTTCTCATAAAATATGCAGAAAAGATGTGATACAGAAGAATATCAGAGGTATACATTTACTGAATTGAAACATTATGATTGATAGTGCTGTGTGAGGTCTAGTAGGTGCCCTTTTGTGTATCACCAGGCATTTCCATGAACTGTTTGTTCAGACTGGCCCTTCATAATAAGTCTAGGAAAAGATGCAGCTGCTTTAAGGAGTTGTAAACAGGTGCTAGGTGAACATCCCCATGCACCCTAAAGCACTTACTACCTTCTGCAAAGTTTTCAGTTGACATCAAGATTTCTCAAGTCATAGAAAGTGCTACAGAATGCTTTAGATATGTACAGTTGACTTTATACTGTCTTTACAGACATAACTTTTATAGTATACAGTGGGATTTAACTTCCAAGTAAAGGGCACTGGCTTGAAATTTTCCTGTTAGAGAAATTTATTGTCTCTTAAGTAGAATTCTGCAGTGCATGACCAGAATTTTCTTTTTAATCAAGCCAGTAAAAATCAATATGATTTTAAGAGTATCTAACAATCAGTATGCAGAGTTATTATACTGGGCATTTTCCAAGAGACCCATTTAAATCAGTCTATCCTGAATGAGACCCAGCATGGCAAGCATTTAGCTGACAAGTTGAATAGGTCCAACTGTTGAAGATAATATTAAGTGTCCTGGTGTGGGGAGGTTGAAACAAACATTAAGTTGCAATTCTTAATTCTTTTGCAGGTGAATTTCTACCATGATCACACAAAAATCATCATCTGCAACCAAAATGAGGAATATCTTCTTACCTATATTAATGAAGATAGGCTATCTACCACATTTCGTTTGACGACTCTTCTGATGTCTGGATGTTCTCTGGAACTCAAGCATCGAATGGAATATGCACTGAACATGCTGTTGCAAAGATGTAATTAAAAGAACTCTTCTAAAACCAAAAAGGACTTCTCTCACTGAAGTCTACAGTGAAGGCAGTTGGATTAAAAAAAAAAAAAACCTAGCATGTTGATGGATGAGTGAGGAGTAGGGACTGGTACGATGAAATGTCTCATCTTATGTACTGGGCTGGGACCAGACATGAAGCTTGTAGTCTTTGTTGGATTAATGGTGTGACCAGGAATCCTTTGGAATGTAGCTTTCCTTGGTTCACTCCTTTTGAAAGAGTTGAGTTGGAAGAGATTTTCTGCAGCAAACAGTTCTGTTGGAGGACTTGAAACTGTGAATAACACTTGAGGAATTGGGAGGGCGATCTCATTGTTGTGGAATAACTGTAAGAGGCAGCTCATGGCTGCTTACTTAAACTGTGAACTATGGCCATATTTTTTTCTTTTCTTAATTCTTCCAAGAACTGATCACACTTGTGGCTGGCAAAGTGCATTCCTTGTTAATAATCTTTTTTTATTTATTACAGCCCAAAGCAAAGTATTTATTACATACATTTTTTTGTAATTGTGATTTTTAAATATACATTTGTTGGCAATAAAGAGTGGGGAAAACCTGAAGTGATGGTTTCCATATGATTTTTCTCTGGCATGCATTGTGTTCCAAGAAAAAGTACAAGGCAATACTCAGAGGAAAATGTTTGATTGCTAACCCTGAAAGGGAATGACAGCTGTCAGTCTGCATTATGAATGAGTAAAAACCAAGGTTTCTGTCCAAATGAGCCTACATTTTTACTTGCTTAGTAGATCTGCTTTACATAACTTGTATTGATAGTGGTGGGGCTGTGGGACAGTGGAAATTAAAATAATAGTAGTTTAACACAATTCCTATTAGTTACCAAAGCTGGGATCCTTACACACTTTCCTGACAAGAGTCTTGGAGAAAATTTTGCTTTGCGCTTTTTCATACAGATGAGAACAAACTATGCACACACCGTACCATTTTTGGAATTTTATGCTGCAGTTTTCAACGGAGAAATTGGCTCAAAATATGAATTATAGGGGAAAATGGATGTTTTTAAGGTTTGACTTTTTTAAGGATTGATCTAACTGAATGCAATATTTTAACATAACTCATCCACCATAATGTTTGGTTTAATTGTTAGGCAAAAAACATGACTTATACCCAAAGGAATTCCATGTACATAATATCAGAAACAGTTTGGATGGGATGTGAATACCCTTTTGATAGGCTTATACTTCTTTGATAATGCTAGAATTGTTGATTATTACAAAAAAGTGCTAGTATTGGTCCTGTAATTTTGAACCCATAATGATTTAACAACTGAGTAAATAAGGAGTTGTTAATGTTCAATTTTCCACTGACAGGTATATACAGTGTATGAAAAAAAAAAGGTACCTTAATTTATTTCCTGGATTTTTCTTTTCCCTTAATTATCTCTCTCATGACACTGATGCATTGTGAAGGAATGTAGAATTTGGCAGATTAGACTTACAAAAAGAAATAAAAAAAAGTTTGGGGATTTCCTACTTAACTGATGCAAATAAAATGATTCAACAGTTAATCTTGCTTAAGGGGTAATTGGCACAATAAAGAATTTAAAGCAATATTAAAGGCACATACCTTCTGCACTGTATTAACAATTAGCTTGGCCACTGCCAATATAAACAAAGTCTAGCTAGGGAAAGGTATGAACCAACACCAGATCTGATGAAGGTTAACCACAGTTTCCATAATTTGAGTTGCAGTTCTCCTAGATCAGTGTTTCTCAAACTTGAAGTCCACACGTCTTCAGGTTCCCAAGGCTGAGGAAGACTGTCCTAGATAAAGCTTTTGTAGACAAAGCTACTGGCCTACTGCATATGTCTCTTTAACAATGCTTCTCATTGTAACTGCATAAACATTTGAATACCCTGATAGGTAGTGCAACTTATATCAACCAAGTGGCTTGATTCTGTGTCTCCTAAACATAAAATCTGGTGTGCAGTTGTTCACAGAACCTAGTATAAAAGGAAGAGATTTCACAATTTTGGCTGCTATTTGAACAACGGAGATTTCAGCTGTTAAGTTTAGGAAAGCAGCCTTGTTTTACAGCAATGAACCATTGCCTGCTGTTTTCTGATTCTGGAAGGTTTACTATCCGTGATGCTGTAGTTTGTGCAGCTATATTACTTCATTTTTTAACTGTGCCCTCAACAGTGTTGGAGGACACCACAATAACCCTGACTGAACAGTGAGAGATGAAATGTTTTGGGAAAGTAGGAATGGTCATATCATCTTGCCATACCCTTGAGATAAAATTATTATACCTTACTCTGGAGGCATCCAAAGCGAAGTGCAGGACTTCATAATAGCTCTCAAAAACTGACACCATCATCCCTTTTGCCACATACAGACAACCCAAAGGTAAGGATGTTCCTGCCCCTTGGTCTACTCTCCTTAATGTTCTGTTACAAGGAAATCCATCTGCATTTTTGAAAGCGAAATCTTGCCAGTGATGTTACTTGTGCTTCTTGGGCTCCAGACGGATGAATTACCTTTTGTTTTTCCTGATATTTAATTATAGTAAATCTCAATGTATATCATAGAATGAGGTGCTTTTTTTTAAAAAAAAAATCACCTTAAAATTCATACATTCGGTGCATGTTTCTTTAAAGACAGGTATGTTTGTTTCCAATTTTGACCAATGTACGTGGTTTCTCAAAACAGTTCCCCATAATATAGAATAATGTTCATAAATATATGCATTTTTGTATTCATTTCTCCTTGGCACTTTTTGTAAATGGGAAGTTGAAATTTGTAGTTAGGGTTAGTTGGGCATGTTTATTTGCAGTTTGGACCAGCGCACATGTTTTTTTCAGAACAGAACTCTATAATATAGTATACTTTTCATGAATACATGCATTTATGTATTTGTTTCACCCTAGCATACATTTTTAATGAGAAGTCGAAATGTGTAGTTTTCTTAATTCTGTAGTGCACATATCACTAAATTCTAGCACATGTATTGGCTTGAAAATGCAAAAAGAGATTTGAAATTAAAATATACATTTAATTTGTTCTTATTCCCCCCCCCCCCAACCTGGAGGCATCAGGACTTGCTTATTTCATAGCATAGCTGGTACCAACAGCAAAACATATAATGAGAGAATGGAGAAGTGTGGGGGTTTGAATGCCACTGCAGTAGAAAGAACACGATGGCTTGCTCATAAGTCTATAAAGAGACTTCATTCTGTATACAGCAGACTGGAGGGGGTTGCCATGGATTTATTCACCCCATGCCTAAAATGATTAAAACTTGGGGTATTCCCTTGTTAGGTCATTGTAGTGCTGGAGTAGAGTTATTGCCTCTTTTGCACACTTTCAGCCAGGTAGCCTTCTGTTGTTGCTCTGGATGGCCTAGAATAGCTACCAATTCTTATAATTGTGTGTGTTTGTGTGTGTGTGTGTGTTGTAGTGACCTGATTTGTCCATTTGCAGTGTTATTTCCTCGAGACAGAACATGATACAGAGACCTTGGCTTGGGGGAAAAAAATGTAATTTAAAAGCTTATATGAATGGTGTAATACAAACAGATAAGCCCCTTCCACACCCAAGGGTTGTACTGATCTCCACACACCCCTAATCCCCACAATGTCTTTGCAGTTATAATTTTTGCAACTTCAAAAGTGAATTGGCTCCACCCTTACTTCAAAGGAAACTCTGCAAAGATACATTTGCCACATTTCTTCCAAAATTGTGGAAGATGTAGTTGCCCATTGTTGGGAACTCTGACTCATCTTACCTCCTATCTCTTAGGAATTTCCCTCTCCTTCCAAGAGCCAAGGAGACATGACATCTTCGGACTATCCCTTCATCTTTCTTGTTTAATCTAAGGGGCAATTCTGCCACTCATTCTCTCAACTGCTATTTTCCCCTTTGCTGCTAAAGAAATGCAGTGAAGTGATGAAGAGGAGTTGGAGAAAAGGAGGTAAACAGTATTTCAGGGAAAGATTCCAAATAAGAGAAAGAGGTGTTGTTTCAAAGAAGCAGATTTGTCTTTTGGAATGCAGAGCCATATATTTTCCTTGAATATGGTATTGAGGACACACACACACACACACACACACACTTGCTTTTGAGACCCATCAGTTTGTCTTTTTTTGAAATAAACATTTGTGTCTGGCTATGGTTACCCTACCTGTTATTTTCTGAATAAGGCTGGCAGAATACTGTGATATATGGATTTGAGAATAATTGATATATTAGACATCTGCACCCCAAACATGCATTTTTATGCTGCATAAGAATTTACAACCTTGGTGAACTCTCAGATGAATGAAGACCTTCCACCCAAGTTTGTAAAGGATTGGTAGTGATGACTGAAAGATGAATATGGGCTTGATACAGATTATGAGTGATGAATGAGGGTTTTTTTTTCTTTTTTGCTTGCATTTTTGTATGTCAGCGAAGGTAGGTATTGACTGACTTTTGTCATTTGGAAACCTAAGCCAAGCATTTGAATATCTAGAATTCTGGAACAGTTGATCAGTATTAATTACTAAATGTTATTCTATTTAATTAAAATACAGAAGGTTATCCTACAGCATCCCATCTTTTTTCTATATTAGTCATGAAACACTCAGTTTTTCAAAATGATTTTATTTTACATTCGTTGATTTATTTATTGTGACGAATCTAAGAATTCTAGTGAGACTTTACCAACTTGCTACTATCAGATGTGTTAATACTGGCCTTGGGATTAATGGGAATTGTAGCCCAAGGTATATCATGAGCACTAAGATATGGAAAGCTGTGTCTAGAATGCTTTCAGATGGTCCATTTTAGTGTTTACACAAAAATGTTTACACAGCACTCATTCATTCAAGGGGCAGATTCATTCTACTTTTACAGAGCAGTCCTCTCCATCTTTATGCAGAAATAGGTCCCATAATCCACAGAAAAGCATGATAGGATTTCTGTTTCATAGTGCTAACTTCCATAAACAAGCCCCACCGAGTTCAGTGGAAGCTGACTCCTGGAAAATGTTATAGGAGTTAGGTTTATTCATTACCTCATTATTATGCCTTTCCTCTGTCAGTCATGGGGAGATTCTTCCATCATTTGTCCTGACAACAATCCTGAAATAGGGTGGGTTGAGAGAGAGAGAGATCATATGACTCAAAGTTGCCTAGTGACAATTCATAGTCGACCAGGGATTTGAACTTGGATTTTCTCCATTCAAGTCTAATACCTTAGCCACTATATCATACTAAACAGTACCATTATCTGGGTTATCAGTAATTTGAGGACTCCAGAGAGCCCTCAAAAACTTGTATAATATTGTCAAACAAGAGTAAATACAGGATGGCAAGGTTATTGTTGGACATTGACCTTGGTAACAAATGCTTGCAATTGCAATGAAGTACAGTTCCTATTAAGCTAGTTCAAAAATGTGCATGTTTCATTTGACTTATATTGAAGATCATTACAACAATAGATGATCTGCTCAGATAGTTCTGCCATCAACAGTTTACAATTCTATATATTACAAGTGTGCAACAGAAATCTGTTGAAATGGAAAGCTTTTTTATATCAATATGTCATGTCCAGTGAGATG